TTTGCTTCGAAGGGGAACCTGGAAGGTTGGGGGTTCCTTTAAAGGGGAAAGTCAGCGGTGTAGGGTTTAGAGGGCGTAAACCCATCCATTAGAGTCTGCATGTACATCTGAAAAACACGGAACCTACAAGAACCAAAACAAATCCAACATCGACAACACGCACGTACCTTGAGCATCCCCTCAATGTCTTTAAACTCCAAGGCCATAGTTATATCGGAGTTACAGTCTTCCCAACGATCTGCCGTGACACAGCTAAAATCTACACCCTAAAACCCAAAGCAACAGCGACAAGATGCTAAACTCTTTCTACTAAATTCTGCCACAGAGACCCCAAAATTAAACCTTAAGCCCTAAACCCTCAAGCCCATACATCCTAAACCATCCTAAACCCTAAACCAGCTGCGCCCCAAGGTTCTGTCGTGACGTAGTCGAGCCCCGATAGCAAAGAAGTCCACTCGGCACTTGCGAGTTTTGGAGTCCATCCGCCTGTCTTTGACACGGGTCATACAAGGACGCCATAGGTAGGTTCTACTAAATCCGAGAAGAGTTGTGTCAGGGCTTCATAAGGGTTGTGTAGCGTGTCAATGCACCTGCAATCGAGAAAGCCAAGTGTAGTTCACGTTTTTTGGATTTTCGGCTTCTTCGGATTGTGTGCAGGCCGTTGGGATATTTGGTATGTGCTCTGTACAACCATGGCAAGGCAGTCCACAGCCCGTCATGCAAGAAACAACAGCCGTTCACTGAGGCTCTGATGGCGCGCAGTTCTAGAGCTGTGGCAACACCTGGTCACTTGGGAGTTTGTCTACTACGAATACTTAATTACCCCGAATTCACGAAAAAAACGGGTCGCATCTGCTCACAGAAGCACAAGCGGAGATATATGCACAGTGCGAGCCCCTCCCTTTAGGTTGTTTTTGCAGGGTTCGGCTTAGGGATTTGGCCGGGAAGCCTCAACTTCTCAAGCCAAACTTCAGATTCACCCCAAATCTGAAGCCCTGAAGGACGAAATCAGACCTCTGCCTATAGTCTCCATTGTAGTTCCTTCTTTTGGCTTAACCAATTATATATTAAGGAATTTACCAGGTATCCCCAAAAAGGAACCACAATGGAGACGAGAGGGAGGACCTAGGAGCCAGCTGTTCATTCCTGGGTCCCAACTTCCCGAACCCGGATCCTCCCACGCAGCCTGCAAAAGCTAAGTCCTTGAATCCCAAGCTGAAAGCAAGGACACTCAAGCCCAATGCCCGGAACCCAAGAAAAACATCGCAAGCCCCAATCCCAGCTCCCTACCCACTGTAAACCCTTGAACCCAACTTGTCAGATTTCCCTCTAGGGTTTACGGCTCCAAAAGCCTACAGGTGGGCCTATATACGCCTACATACTTCTAGCTTTCGACTTGAAAATGCTACGTGTGACGACCCCTAAGGCGACTACGGTTTAGGGCTTAAGGCTTTAACTTTAGGGTCTAGGTTTTAGGGTCTAGACTAGAGTCTACAGAGTTGCTTGGACCAATGTCCACAAACCCTCTCCCAAGCCTTGAAACTTCGGTAAGTTCAAGTTCGGGTTCAGGGTCTTGGCTTCCGGGCTGCGGGTCTCGAAAATCCGAAAGCCCGAAAGCTTAGTTTTGGCAAGCTCTTTCTTAGGGTTCTGTGACAAGCACACCCTCTATTCTAGTTACTGAGGCCCCTAATGGCCCGTATGCTATCCTGGGCTTTGGCTTTGGCATAGCCAAGGCGAAACAGTATAAACTTTCATTGCGTAGCGGATCCTAAAGGAACATGTATCAACAAAAGCATTCAGGTATGGTACTCCAGAATTTAATGGTCCGAAGCACACCCCATTCTAAGATTCGAAGCATTAAAGCCCCTAGTGGCCCTTGTGTTATCTGTCCGTCCTGGGTGGGCCAGCTTTGGTACCAGGACTTAGCTCGAAGGCTGCGAGCCTGGGATGTGCGCTTTGAGGCTTCTCTTGCCCTAGGCGTCTGAAGTTTATAGGGTTTAGGGCTCGTGCCGGTTTTGGAGTTCTAGAATAGGCTTATACCCAAATCGTATACACTTGGGCCCCAAAGTAACTGTTTTTGGGAATACATGCATAGAACCTTAAGGTGTACTACAGCCCTAAACCCTACACCCCCAAACCCTACGTACTTCAGCAATATGTACTTAGACTTGAGCATTGAATGAAATCCAAATTTCAGCTTCAATAGATAGATAAATCCAGCTTTTCTGCTCTCGCACACCCCAACCCGAATGTGGGATACACCGTCTCAGTATACCGTATAGGCATACATACAAAAGCATCTCCTGAACTAGGTGCAGCTGACCGACCTTGTGTTTTTGTCATGAAAACAAGAGACCAGCGATAGCGCGATAACAGCATCACTTTCTGAGCCACTTGGCTTCAACACCCCCAAGAAGCCAGCAACAGATGTCAAACGCGCGACGTCGCAAGCCCTTCATTGGACCTGGGGAGTTGGGTTCTGTCATCCATGGTTTTAGGGTTTTGGGTTGAGGGTCTACTTGGAGGGTCGGGAGACTTAGTAAGTGGGTAATAAGTAGACGTATAAGTACCCTACCCTAAAAGGGACCCTAATTGGGGTTATAGTACAAAATAACCAATTACTAAGTCCCCCGACCCTCCAAGTAGGGGAGTCCTCCTGCCGAGTGGCAGCTTGCCTTGCGTCGGCACACCGCCAGGTACTGGCTCCAGCTGGAACCACCTAGCGGGTGAGTTACCACAGAAACCAGCCTCTCACCCCTGAGCACCAAGATGATAAACCCCAAAACCCGAAACAACAGACTGCGAACACAACACCTGAACACGAAACACCAAGCAGAGATACTAGACCTGAAACCCCACAAAAAAAAAGCCTCCGATTCAGGCTTGGGGAATCAGGTCCATGCCGAACCCCACAAAACAGTCGCCTAAACCTGGAACAACCGCTTGCCAAGACGTATGGCCCTCTTTTGCAACATAGACCTCAATTGGGATACTGCCCTTCCCCTTAAAGGCTACCTACAAAGGAAAGGGTACCTGGGGGGCCTGGTTGGCGTAAACCGGCGGCTTAATCCCACATCCCGAAAGGAAAAACCCAAGCCACAATCTGAGACCTAAAACACTAAGCCACACACATCAGGCCACACAACCCTTTGCAGTTCACCTGATGCACTCCACATCCAAACTTCCAAACCCCAAACCTGAAATCCGAAAGTTAAAGATGAAACCTCTGATCCTTAACCTAGCCAAACAGAAAACAGGACCCGCACTATAAGCAGTACTATACTTACCCGCGTTCATTGCGACCGTATGCCCTTAGAATCCTTAACCGTTGGATACCCTACGGAGTCATTTGCCTCGGGGATCGCTTCCACTCTTCGGGCAAAGCTCCCTCCTCGGACGTCGCGTACCTGCCGAGATGACGTTTTAGGGTTCCGTCCCTATGCGTCTGGAGGCATCTGGCCCTTTGTGTTTATTGTGTCGCTTCAGGGTTTAAGGTTTCCCGATTACCTTCTAGAAACCTACAGTGGGGACTATAGGTGAACCTTAAACCCATTTAGGCCACTGGACTCAAGTCTAGCCAGACGACGACATGCAATTTAAAACCCTAAGCTCTAAACCCTACTTGTTTCACGGTTGGAGATCTGGGTTTCAGGTTCCCCCAGGGCCCAACAAATTGCCCAACGCAGTTGAAAGTAGGGCTCTACAATAGGCCTGACTAGTAGGGTTTCTGTTAACTATTCCCCCATATAAATACCTATGACTTCTTTCGGGCTCGGGACCATGGGAATTCCCAGGCAAAGAAGCTAAACTGCTCCGGTGAGGCTTTTGGGGTTATTGTTTAGGGTTCAGGTCAGCGTTCGTAGTTCAGGGCTTAAAGGGGTCAGGGTTTCGGTTTTAGTTTGGGGATTTTCGTAGCGCTTCAACTACTCCCGGTCTGAGGGTTTCCAAGCCCACACGATCTCGCCATGTCTCAAATTGTGGCAGGAGAAACAAGGTAATATAATGATTGTGTGTGTGTACATATATATATATATATGTATACGTATACACATACATGTAGGGGCCTTAGTACTTAGAGTGGGGTTGTTGGGGGGCATATAGTAGTATGTGTAGTAGTATACTTGGCATGAAGGAGCCCCAAGGAGTCAGACGGGTAGTTGTTCAGCCCGAAGCCCTACCCATAGGCCCCATAGTAGTTCCTTTTTGTGGTTTATATTTAGGATTCCATTAGGGAATCCCACAAAGGAACTACTATGGGGCCTATGGGTAAACCCTAGCAGGGATTTAGGGGTCCTGGTTTTGGGGTGTCCCGGAAGGCTAGGCTCCTGCTGCAAGCGACGAAGAGCCGCTTTGTAGGCCCTTTTAGGGTAATTACCCTTCACGGTTTGGGGTTTAGGGTCTATAGGGGTTTATAAGGCTTCTAGGGCTTATAGGGTTTTAGGGTCTAGGGGTGTAAAACTGGCTAAACCACAAAAGGAGCTACAATGGAAAGAGCAACTCAGATGCATCCTCAAAACACTGCAGCGGCCATCTTCCCCACGAAGTCAGACCCTACACAAGGTTGAGGGTCTAAGATGAAGATGTGTTGAAGACCGTAAACCCTAACCCTAAACTTTAAACCCTAAAGGCCCAAACCCTAAAGCCCTAAAGCCCTAAATCCCGAAGCTCAGATTGAATCGCAAGGGCCCCAGAGGATGCGAAGACCGCCCACCTTTGCGGAAGCAGGATGAAAGCACGCAGCTCCGAGAGGCAGACCGAATTAGTGAAAACTTGCTTGCGTTTAGACCATGCTTAGACCGAAGGACAACTTACTCGGTGAAACATATAGAGGTTTCTCCAAACCTCGATGCTGGAGCCGAGGTCATGCTGTGCACAATCCCACGCTCCGGAAACTTGCTCAGCTGGCAGCGGCGGAAGAAACCACAACTCTGCCATGGGTACGAAGCAAGGTCCCAAACTGATTTAGGGTTTAGGGAGTTGCCTGGGAAAACTTGATGGCACTAGCTATCGGAGCCCTTTGACTCACGAGTTGCCTCTGCCCTGGCTAAAGCTCGCCTCTTGGCATTGGCCCTCTTCTGCGCCTCGAGATGAATTCGATTTCGTCGCGTCCTGGCTTCACCCCTGGTGCAGAGATGGCAGTGGTCACAGGCGTCACCTCTACGGCATCCATCTCCCATTTGTGTGTGGTAGAGGCACGGAAAGCAGTGTCCTATCTGATGAAGGATGAAGCCAGCCGAACCGTGGACCTCGTAAGCCTCTCCCAGATGGTAACGTGGAGCGAACGGACTCAAAGTCGGAGAGCCAACCTCCTGTGAGTGCTCCAGTTCATCCTTGGAAACAGCAGGCGATTCCGAGCCACTGTCACGTGTGCTCTTGAAATCTCTGCCGTCGGAGGCCTTCCCACTTGTGTCAAAAGAAGAAAGGCTGCCATCGTCCGTGTCATCACCAAACCAAACTGCAGGCAACCTACCGCCAGGAAAAAGTGATGATTCAGAGCTTGAGATTCCGGCATCAGAATCCACACCGCCGGTATGCATCCGCTGTTCCATGTCTTATGGGAGAGCTGAGGGACGAGCCTGCAGGCTTCAAATTTCTGAACTGCCCATAATGTTTGAGCCGTAGCCATTTGGGAGCTCCGGGGATTGGCGGTTTAGATTGTCAGAACCCGAAACCCCAAACCCTAAACCCCAAACCCTAAACCCCTAAACCCGAAACCAGAAAAATCCTAGACTGTGGGCGTCGGGCTCGGGTTCTGAGGATTACGTTCGGGCTTCCAGCGCGGAACCCTGAACCCTGAATCACTGAATCCCAACATTTCCCTCTATAGGCCCTGAAAGCAGAAACCCTTTGGCAACTGGCCTGCAACGACTTCGCCAGGTTAAGGCAGGGGAGGTGTTTTCAACACACTCTCTTCTTAGCAGAACAGAAATTAATAAAACCCTAACCCCCAGAACCCCTAAGTCCCTAAATTCCCGGCCTCATCTGCACCATGGGCTCAAAGGACCCCTCGTCGCTATCCTTGCACTTCAAGGGTTTTGGAGTTCAGGGATCCAAGGTTGAGTTGATGGGCTTCGGGCTTATAGGGCTTAGGGTTTAGGGCTGATAGGGTTCAGTGTTGTAGGTCAGGGTGAACAGGGTTTACCAACAGACGAAGGCCGAGAAGACAAAGCTCGAAGCGGTGCCGCCCCTCTCGACATGGCAGCCTAGCTTTTTGAAGTTCTGGACTTTCGTCCATTGCTCCGAACTTGATGTAACCATTCAGTGCATTGGCTACAAGCCAAGCCCCTAAAGCCGAATTGCGCCCCAGCGCGCAAGGCCTGCCACCACACCGATCTGAAATGACATACTGAGGCCCAAGGTGCCAACAAGGTAATGAGAACATCAGGACGGAGTGCCACATTCTCCGGTAGCTTCACATCAGCCTTGTCATCGTGCTTTGTTGCAGCCGTTCTTCATTTGCATTTCACTGCCACTTCCACACGCAATGACTGTATCAAGATCTGTGACTCACCATAGACCGGAATTCCCAGTCAAGCGATTCATGACTTTTACAAAACAGCCGGAAGCATCAGGGCGAAACGAATTGCTGTTCAAGATGAGTTTCAGATGCTTATAAGTTTCCTGAATCACATATCTTCGCCTATCAGAAGTTTTTCCCCGTCAGAAGCTGGCATTTCGGGATTGGAAATCCAGCTCTCAATCTACACTACTATACATTGCACCTTTGTAAAGATAACTCACCGCACCGCATGGGCACTTGTGATTGAATCTTCTACAAAGACAGCGGCTTCTACGATGTTACTGCCGCTGCCATGCCACTGTCGCTGGGACGCGGCTGCGAAGGCTGCTGCCGGTGCTCTAGTCCACTTCAGCCAACTCTAACTCCTCTTCTTGCTGACACTCCTATCGCTCTGACGATGGCATGGTCTACTGCCAGTACCGATACCACTGCAACCACCAACGCCACTATCTTTGCTACTACTGCTGCTGCTGCTCCTCATCCTCCTCCTCCTCCTCCTCCTTCCACTGCCTCTGCTACTGATACTGCGAGCTCGGCTACGGCTACTCAGGCTACTCCCAATCCTTTTCCCGCGACTTAGATGGTCGAGGAGGAAGCGGTCACGGAGACCACAACGGTCTGCGCATGACAGCACTACCGCTGAGCATGCTCAAGAATGAACGGACCCGAATCCAAAGCAAAAGGTACTGCCCGAACCGGACACCAACTCTCTGCTCCGCAAAGCCGAAGCCCCAAGCCCCAAACCCCAAGACAGGTGCGGAACCCGACTGGAAAGCCTCCAGGATCTGGTTCCAGCTCGGGTTAATGCACTGGCTGATGATTTGGGTCCTCGGCTGCTAGCCGCAACTACTGCCTACCACAGCAGCTGCTGGGTGCATGAGCGTCAGAAACTAACTTCGGGCGCCACCCCTCTTAAAGAGATTGTGCTGTGGATTGAGGCCTGAAAGGCCGCTCGTTGAAAACACTGCAAGAAGCCCTAAACCAAGGTAGGAGGGACTACGATCAGGCCAACGTGAATACTAGTTGGGTTCAAAACCGTCGAAGCAAGCTCAGGTCCTGGAATGCCCTGCCAGGAAGAGCGCCCCATTCCATCCCCCCAAACCCTAAACTCTACCTGAACCCAAAGAACCTGCCCTTTTAGGGTTCCTTATCACGATTTCCTAATTATATTAAGCCCTAAAATCCTAAAAAAGGGTAGGTTCTTCAGGGTCCAGGAGTTCCACGAGACGATTTCGGCGCTCACCCTCAGACCCGTCAGGCGAGGCACGTGTCCAAAGGGTCTGATGGGATCTGATGGGGTGAAGCAGTGCCGGCGCGACAGAAATTCTTAGTAACCATACATCCTTCAATGCACATCGCACAAAAATGACATTCCGAGAACCTTATGCCCCTAGGACCATGACATTATGAGAACTTTATGCCCCCACTTCGACTATTTAGGGATAAGTTGAGGAGTTTAGGAGTTAGCATGAAGCTGCCATGACCAGACGCTGGGAAGCTTGGTTACAAGCGGAGGGATTGAGGACAAGCGGTGCGAAACCTCCGTTAAACCCTGAACCCTAGACTCCTAGACCCTAAACCGTGAAACCCTGCACCCTAAACCCTCCTAAATCCTTCACTGCCGACACAGAGTCCGGAGCACCGCTGATCCGAAGTTGATGGCCACCAAGGGATCAGAACTCCCTTCTTCGTCCTGTCAGGGTTTAGGATTTGGGGGTTTCCGAAAATAGGGACCCCAATATAGTACCCTAAATAGTAGGATCCAAATTTTAAGGACCCCAAAATAAGGTACCCCTTATTTTCCGAAACTCCCATTTAGGGTTTGGGGTTTAGGGTTTAGGAGTTGGTGCCATTGGCGCTCAGGGTCTTCTTTGTGTTTGATGTGGGTAGTTCTCTAAATCAGGGTCGCTTTTATAGGCCCCCAATATAGAACCACACCCTTATGAAAAGGAGCCTCATTAATTTGGAGAGCTACCCGTATGTTTGATGAATTTGTGGGTGTCCAGTGCAGCCTATGACGGAACTAGTATCGAGGAGTATTCCTGCATGGGTCTCCTGTGGCAGCGGTGCTAGTAGTCGCGGCAGTAGCAGTCCTCGCCGTAGTAGAAAAGTAGTAGCAATGGCAAAAATAGGGTTGGACATTCTCAATATCTTCGGGAGCAGTAGCAGTAGTAGTAGCAGCAACGGCGGCACATAAAGGGAACCTTGACGGCAGTGGCAACAGGAGAAGGTAAGAATGATGCTTGCAAGATAATTTAATACATGCTATCAACCCTTCCCCTTTTGACACCAAACAAGAAAGTCCAAGTCTGTGCTGAACCCTCCCAGCTGCCTTTGCGGGGAGGTTCACAGCCTGGCAACGGGATGCTACAGAAAGATGGACATGACTGTGCAACATCTGAGATGCTTCTGCCGCACGCACCCCGGGTGCCCTTCCAATTCAGAGCCTTGGTCAGTGTCATCCGTCTTTCCATTTTCCCTTAAGCACGGGACATACTTGAAATCATGTTAGGGAACCTATTATGTATAGTTTAAGGAAAATTCCTGAATTAAGGGATATTGGAAGGTCTAGGCAACATGGCCCCCACTGAGGTCCTTACAACTCTACTTGTCGCAAACCCTACTTGTGGCCTTGGGGTACTTCTTGGGGCCTGAAGGTGTAAGATTGAGCTGGTTGTTACATCTGGACCTAGATCACCACGAAGCCATGTTCCCGGCCCTTTGTTTAGCATGACAAGACGCGTCTCAGACACCTCGAAAGCCAACCCGGCAGTCAATCGACAAAGCCTGAAGCTACTTTATGCGTTCCCCAATCCGGCCTGTGCGCTGATCTCACTACAAACCTGGCACTTGTCAGACCAAAACGCGAAACTCAAAGTACTGCTCAACCAGGCGTTTACCAGATCCAGAAGAGTTCAGGCAATCAGGACGACCACTGGGACACTAGGAGATTACCAGGAGACCTGAGACGATGACACGCCAGGGTGAGGGATACGAAGTATCGAAGGCTAGGCGACATCAGACTTGAAGGCTCGCAGTAAGACTGAAGAGGAGTGTACGTGAATTGCTGTTGGGCTAGAAAATGAAAGATGAACGACTCTTGTGTGTCAGACTTGGGTTTTAACCCTCTGCCCTAAATCCTAAACTATGTGATGCAGGAGCGAGCCTGATAGATTTTCGCACGGAAGCAGTAGTCCTTCCACTTGATCTTCAGAGGTTTCTGCCTAACAAGCCCACGGGGAAGTTCAGTGTTCATGGAAAAAAGATGGCTTGAGTTTGTGAGGTTAATTAAGGACCAGGACTGCTTGCATCTCGCTTGGAGGGCGTTCAGGTTCAGGCTTCCGTTCACTGGGCGCAAACTGTAAGTCAGCACACGGATCTGAAGCTTTGGCTGCTGCAAAGATGATCAGACTACACCCAAGAAACCCAAGCTCAACTCACCACAAACATCCCACTTTGGAGGCATATAGGACTTTAAGAAGAAGTTCACATCAGGACCCACGAGTAGGCAGGCTTTTTTCGGATTGGGGCAAGGCCCCGCCGTTTCATCCTTGACGATGCATTCGTGCGCAAGGAGGGGGCGAGGCATTACCTCTACTTTACACAGCAGGTCAAGCAACACGAGCACAACCAGCACGAGTAATTATCGCCGAGAACCAAACGATACGTCATGCATTAATTAGTTGCTGGTGACTGCTATGACGAACATGACCATGACGACGACATCTGCGAAGAACGATGACCAGGAAATTGGCAGGATTGGCAAAACCTGACGTCTCTCGGTGCCTCGTCGGCTTGCCCTGTTCAGGCCCGGCACAAATCGTCCTTTGGCGCAGGGCACAATTGGGAGCCGGCGTAAAGGGGTCTTGGGTTTGCTGTTTCGGATGTTTGGAGCGCTGCTTCGCGGTGTTTCGGCGCATTGCCTTTCAGTTATCGCATGAAAGGAATATCCCGTCCCTAAGAAGGGCTTCTTTTGCACTAGGATCCTGAGGGAGCAAGGAGGATCCCTGTTGTCACCATGGAGCTCAG